GCCCCTGACCCTCCAAACCCAACTGCAGCCGGCGAGGCCCCAGCCCGACCCTGGGCTGACTGAGCCCAACTCCCCAGCCCGAGCCCTAGTCCGAGGCCCCGCACTGCTCTGAGCATCGCTCAGCAACACCTGCCGTGCGGGCCTGAGAACATCGTCAGCATCCCACCACGCCTCCGGTGACAGCACACCTCCCTCATTCTGCGTCTCCGCGACCCACCGTCTCCAGTGTCTGCACGCCTTCCTGACACGCCACACGCTCAGGGCCTTTTCGCTGCCCACTCCTCATGTTGTTCTTGTTAGTTTGGCCACATGTGGAGGAGGCCTGGGAAAGTTCTGCGAGAGTGAAGTGTGCATCTCATGTAGAGTTTAAATGCACCGTAGAGTCACCAGGCACTTCACGACTAGTTGAGCAGTAAAACAGGTATTCAGATGGCTACTGAAAAACAGAAAAGAGTTCTGCAGATCTGGAGCACGGTGAAGCCTGGCCTAAGCTCCTTGGTTGCAGCTTCCGTGGCTGCAGCTGCGTCCTGGCGCCCTCCCACTCTGCCAGCCCTCCCCGTGCCTGTGCACACAGCACCGCGCCAGGTATCCTGTCTCCTGAAGCGCAGCGAAGGCGCCACCGGCCGGCTCCTGCGATTCTGTGGCCGATCCTGCCCGCGAGGCCTTGTAGGAGGCTCGGATGCTAGAATGGGGAAGGATCTGAATGTGGAAGGATCTACAGAAGATCTTCAGGTAACAGAGGCAGTGAGGAAATCATTCTGCCGTGAATCTTTTACACTCTCCTCGTAATGAAATGCCACAACTCAGAGCAACTGGATGAGACTCTGCGCACTTAATTTCTGGGGCGCTCCGTCTCCCGGAGGAGCACAAACCACCGGAATCTGAGAAGCTTGAGGAAATGATATCGTTTGTGGCTCCAGTTACCATAGCGTGCAGGCACTTCACATGGAGTGTGATCTGCTCTGGGCTGTGGGGGTTCTGAGCACTCACACACAGCAGAAGCTGAAGCAGCATCAGACGGGAAGTCACCTGGCACAAACACCCCTGAGCCGTGTGGAGCAACGGGGGAAGCCCACACCCAGCCTGGGTCACACACCTGCCCCCAACAAAGAAATGAACGGGAGGGGACAGCTCGGTGTCCATTGGAGCGTCTCAGGGGCAAGCCTTCTCCATGAAGACGCGCAGCACCTGAAACCATCAAACAGGGACACTGCTCACGGCACGAGAGGACTGTCCCTGCCCTGTTCTTATTTCTGAAACATGCAACCCTCTTATTCGGCGTTTCATTTTCTCACACTGGAGGGAACACAGAAACAAAACTACCTCCTTCACTTAACACTAGGAAAGCCAGGTCCCCACAGAGCGCTGCCCCGCCAGGAAGCCGGTGCTGTGGGGCGGCCACGGGAGCCTCAAGACCCAGGTCCGGGAGCCCTGGGTGACTTACTCTGGCCAGTGGCTCAAGACACCCAGCCCACAGTGGCCATTCACGGAGACAGGGCGGGAGGGGCCATAGGGAAATGGTTTCCACCAAGAAATTGGCCCTTAGACAAAATCCCGGAGAGGCGGCATGCAGTCTTACCTTTAAAGTCAAATTGATGATGTTTTTTAAGGATTCATGAAGAAAATAAAAAGCTTCCCTACGAATTGCCTGTAGAGCAAGAAATCAAATGAGAGACTGGGTGCTGGGAATATTTCTAAAAGCATTGTTTTAACAATAAATAAAAAGCTCTTTTAAACTAGCTGAGCAGAGTTTAACCAGTTGTGATTTTAATCACAATTCACTGAGGCACAAGGCGTCAAGCGGAAACCTGCGAACACCCAAACTCCACCCAAGCTCCAAGCCTGCGGTGAGCATTTGTGGTGCTGGCTCCCAGCAGTGCAGATCCACTTGAGCTGGGCATTGAGTGGACTAGACCCTTCCCAGCACTGGTCTCAGCCTCGTCCCCGGGGCCCCCAACCCATCAGCTCCCGCCATCCGGCGCCACCCTGCCCATCGCCCAGGAGCCACCAGTGTCTCCCACTCACAAGTGCTTCCGGACAGGTGCAGAGCACAGGGGCCCCTGCTCTCCACACCAGAGAAGTAAGCACGGGCCGGGCACCACAGGCTGGAGTCGATGGTTTACAGACGAGTGACTTGTTGATCCGAACTTCAAGTTTCCGTTATTTTCACCACCAGGTGAACCTGTCTCTACGATACCTTAGTCGTTCTATATTAGCGATATTATATTATTTCCTTATTATTTTTTTTCTTTTGCTAAATCTAGCTTAACCACGGGGCCTGAATTTAACTCTGGGGTGATCAGAATATTCTGCTGGGTTGCAGTAGTTGCGCTGTCAAAACTCACTACATTCTCCTAAACAGAGGCGAATCTCACGTCTATACATTGGAACCTTTATAAACCTGACTTAACAAACAAGTCTATCTCGCAGGGAGATAGCTGTGTGCCTGTGCGAGGTGGCAGGTGCTGGGGACAAAGCAGGGGGAGGAGGTTTGGAGGGGGCAGGTGCCAGGTGGGCCAGAGAGGAGGGCACATGAGCACAGCTGCAGATGGAGGGCAGGGAGCTGTTGCAGGAGGCCCAACGTGACCGTGTCACACAGGGCCTCCCTGCAAGGAGAACTCTTAGCCACTGGGTCTCGAACTAACTCTGCCTCCGAACGAGCCTGTCCTCCAGAGAGCTGAAAGCACAGGGGTGCGTGCATCCTCACTGTCTCTGTGTGAGCCTGTGGGCAACACAAAGGGCAACACCCGGGCATCCACCTCATTCCAAGGCTTCCACTTGTACCTGGAAGTGCACAGTCATGTCCACACATACACACACACGCTTGCACACACACACTAATGCAACTCATACACACTGCGTGCACATACTTGTGTACACTCACACACTTGTGCTACGCACTCAGGCACTCGCTCACACATGCACACAGGCACTCGCACACACTCATGCACACACAGGCATTTGTTCACATGCACTAACTGTACTGCACTCATGCACTCACATGTGCTTGCTCACACCCTTGCACCACGCACACGCACACCTCATGCACTCCATGTACTCATGCACTTACACTTGCACAGTCATGCACTCACACTTGTGCACATACGCACTCATGCACACACACTTGGTCACACACACAAACTCATTTGTGCCCATGCACTCACGATGTACTTGCTCACACGCACACACTTGCCCACCTTTGCGCACACTCATGCACTTACACTTGCACAGTCATGCACTCACACTTGTGCACATACGCACTCATGCACACACACACTTGGTCACACACACGAGAGGAACTCATTTGTGCACATGCACTCGTGTACTTGCTCACCACACACACATACTACATACGCCTCAGCACTCTTTGCTTTGTTTTGGGCAGAACCATGACCCCACAACCCCACGCGGTTCTGAGTGCCCCAGCATGAACCTCCTGCTAAGATGCCCAGCTGGCGCTGCAGAGCTACTCTCTCACAAGGAAAGACAAAGGCAATGCTTGAGCATCACACCTAATTCAAGGCCAAGCTAACGTCCCACACCGCCGGGCTCTGCAGTTCCCAGGGAACTGCTGCTCCCTCCCTGATGACTGGTCACTGGGGTGGCTGCCCTGGGGGCAGGGCTGTGAGAGGTGCACCACACTGGGCGTCAGGGGAGGTCGCTGCTCCTCAGGCGCAGGGCGCCCAGGCACAGTCGTGGTGAGGGGACCTATGTTCTGGAGCCTGCTGAGGGCCTGTCAAAGCGTGCCAGTAACTCTGGCCAGGTCCTGTCCGCGGCCCTGGGCCCCTGGGTCAGCTCTCTGGGACCTGTTAGGCCGTCTCTGGTTTGATGCCAAACCCCACAACATGGGAAGCTCCTGGAGGCTGTGCAGCTCCTGCTCCTGAGGCGTGTGCAGCACACAGTGGGCCAGGGTGATGGTCCTGCTCCCCGGGAAGCTGACCACATGGACACCTCACCAGAAAACAGTGTTTCACCTTGAGGATGACACAGCTGTCCTCTGACAGAACACACACTTCAAGTGCATTTAAACTCCTAAAAGAAACCCGGCTAGCAAGGCCAGGCCCCGTGCACCGAAACCGTGGTGGCCTCTGCCTCCTGTCTCTGCTGTGTCTGACTGGGAAGGGGACATGCCCACAGGGAGGAGCAGGGACATGTGCTGCCTCCACCCGGCACAGGTGGCGAGTGCGAGTGCACACACACACGATGCACATTCTGAGTGCCAGACCTCGGCGGGGAGAATCCAGAAAGCTGTGGGGTAGCCATGGGCCTCCCAGCCCTGCATCCTGGCACTACCCAGACAGGAGCCCCCAGGCTAGCCGACAGATGACAGGGGACCTTCTACTAGAGACAGGGATAGAAGGACACCAGGGGGACGCAGTGCAGTTCCTCTCCTCTTGCAGGAGGGTCTGAGAGGCACAGCAGGCAGCGTCTCTGCCTCCCACAGGAAGCCAGGAGGTGGCAGAAGCTGTGTGTGCCTGCCTGACATGGCAGGGCCTTGTCACTTTACGCCCTCTCTTCTCTCTCTCTCTCTCTCTGTTATTATTTTTTATTATTGGCTACACCACCGCCACCTGCCTCTCTGCAACCCTGTTATTGTGTGATGGTCCCCACGGTCCCCCACCACCACACCACAGATTCCCTACCACAATTGATTGGTCTTACATAAAGTCCCCTGTTTTTTAATTGTTTAAACTGGGTTTCTACCACTGCCGTTCACTACCCTACCGTTACACACTGCCTACTTTTTCTCGACAGCCCAGACCAACCACAGGAGGCTGGACTCCCAGGAATACGGATTATCAGTAACAACCGGACATACGACAGCCCAGACCAACCACAGGAGCCTGGACTCCCAGGAAGATGGATTATCAGAGGTAACAACAGGCAGCTGAGACCAGCAACAGTGCAATGCGAAAATTCCGTGTTCAGTGTCGCTTCTGACGGGCTCACTCTGGGAAGCAAACCAGCAAACCCGTTGGTAAGAAAGCCTCGCTACGCACCTCGGGGAAGTAGTCCTGTGGAAACTTCTCCTTCTCCAGCATGGGTGTGCTCTCCAACGTATCCGAGTAGATCTCTTTGCCCGCGACCTTTCTATACTTCTTAGCTGGAAGAGACCAGAAGGATGAGGTGACTATCCCATCGTTGTGCCACCAACCAGCCTGGAGCACAACCTGTTTCTGGCCCGCATGCAGCCCAACGGGAGCAAGGGAGGCCCCGAGAGGAGGCCCCGACGAGGGCGCCGATCCTGAACAGACCCCCGGTGGCTGGCAGCTCCATGCCTGTGGCTCATAAATTTCCCTCCCATGACCTGGAATCTGACGCTCCACTCCATGACCCCCCGAGAGCCCCCAGCCTGCAGATTTACAGGAGCTAATTGGCATCCTCTTTTAAACCCGTGAATATATTTAAGAGGGCTGCAGAATTACCATTCACTCAGACCTTCACATGAATGTGTTTAATAACATTGATTTCCTCCCCGTATCCAGCCTCCATCACTCATATTCCAGGGAAGAGGTTTATGTGTGACGGTGAGAGAGGCAGCTCGCGGCAGGGTGCCTCCCAGATGGGCTTTGCCAGTGGCTGTTTGGCACCTCCCTGGAGCCCCTAGTGGATAGGCCAGGCCCAGGGACACAGGCCCGCCCGTGGGCAGGGCCGGTCTCACTATTGTTCACAACCAGGCCTCGGTCTTTCTTTTTATGGACAGGTAGCTCCATACCCATGGTGGGGTATGATCAAGGATGGCAGGGATCCATTCCTCAAACTCCTGCTGGGCCCGGTGGGCAGGTGGCCACTGGCCTCTTTGCAAGATGCCATAGGATGGCTCCTAGGTCACTGAGGTGACACTCATGGGTGTCAAGGAGGTTCCTGGAGACCATTTTGGGGCAGTGTATTGTGTCCCACAAGCAGCTCCAACCTGCAGTTTCTGGGGTATTATCCACCCCACTGTGGCAGGAGGGACAGAGGGGGCAACCTGAGGACCACGGCACTGTGGGCCGAGGTGCTGGGTCACCACTGGGGTGGGCAGGAGTCCCAGGCAAAAACAGAGTGCTGTGGTGTGGCCCGGCCCTGGGTGCTGTGGTCTGGCCCATCCCTGGGTGCTGTGGTCTGGCCCGGCCCTGGGTGCTGTGTTCTGACCTGGCCCTGGGTGCTGTGACCTGGCCCAGCCCTAGGTGCACAGTCCTGGATGCAGGTGCCTCATGGACAGGAGACAGCATGAGATGTTTCAGCGACTTATGGAGCATGGACAGAACATTAAATAGAGGCCGTTCCCTAAACTCAGAGCTTAGACTCTACGGATCCTTTCACTGTCTCCACAGTTCTGCCTTTTCCAGAGTGTCACAGAGTTGGAATCACACAGTGTGTAGCCTTTTCAGGTTGGCTTCTTTCATTGGTAGCAGGCATGTCAGGCTCCTCCGTGTCTTCTCACGGCTTCAAAGCTCACTTCTTTTTATCACCGAATAGCACCCCATGGAGCTGACATGCCACAGCCTGCCTGGCCCATTCACCTACAAGGCAGAACAACAAGTCTTGAAGTCAGGAAGTGCGGGCTCTGACTCTGCTCTTCTTCAAATCTCTGGGCTATTCTGGGTATTTTGCTTTCCACATAACCTTTACAGTCAGCTTGTCAATGGCATGACACACCTTGCTGGGGCTGTGTTGAATCTATAGCTGAAGTTGGGAAGAGCTGAACCCTTGACAGTACTGGGTTTTCCCATCTGTCTCAGTCCACCGGGCAGCTACAGTAAAATAGACTGGGTGGTCTGTAAACAAAGTGTCTTTCTCCTAGTTTCAGGGGATGGGAAGTCCAAGATCAGGGTGCTAGGAGATGAGGTTCCTCACAGATGGTGCCTTGTGTGTGTCCTCACGTGTGGAAGGGGCAAATGAACTCCCAGCCTCTTTCATGAGGGCTCCCATCCCATTCGTGAGGGCTCTGACCTCACACTAATCAGCCTCCCAAGGCCCCACCTCCTAACAGCATCACCTTAGGGGTTAGGTCAGCAGATGAATTTGGGGGTGGGGGCACCTACATTCCAACCATAGCACTATCCATGAAAATGAAATCTCTCTCTATTTATCTAGATCTTCTTTATTTCATCAGAGTTTTATAGTTTTCCTCATAGAGATCTTGTATTAATTTGTTAGATTTATTCTTAAGTACTTCCATTTGGTGTGTGCTTAAGTAAATGGTATTATGTTTTTAATTTAAAATTCCACCAGTTCATTGCTGCTATATAGGAAAGCAACTGATTTCTCTATATTAATTTTGCATCCTGCAATGTTGCTATAATTGCTGATTAGTACCAGGTTTGTCTGTTATTATTGCTGACTCTGAGATTCTTGACAAAATCATATCATCTGAGAACAGAAATAGTTCTATCTCCCATCACTGCATCAATATGGCTTTTATTTCCTTTTCTTGTCTTATTACATTATCTAAGATTTTCAGTAAGATGTTGAAGAGAAGCAGGAGAGAAGGCATCCCTGCCTTGTTCCCGATTTCGGAGGAAAAGCGTCTAATTTCTCATTAAGTGTGGTGTTCATTGTAGGATTTTTGGAGCTTTATCAAGTTGAGGAAGTTCCCCTCTATTCCTAGTTTGCTGGGAGCTTTCTTCAAATCATGAAGAGATGTGGATTTTGTGAAATGCTTTTTCTGCATCTATTCTATGATCATGGGATTTTCCTTCTTTTGCCTGTTGCTGTGATGAATTACATTAATTGATTTTTAAATGCTGAACCAGCCTGTACACCAGGAGTAAAACTCGGTTGGTCAGAGTATATAACTGCCTGTTGAGAATTTTGTTGAGCATTTTTGTTTACAGTTCATAGTTTTCCTTCTCTTTGTAATGTCTTTATCTGGTTTTAGTATTAGGGTAATGCTGACCTCATAGAATGATTTAGGATGTTTGTCCTCTGCTTGTATTTTCTGGAAGAGATTGTAGAGAACTTGTATAATGTCTTCCTTAAATGCCTGATAGAATTCACCAGTGAAACCATCTGGGTCTAGTGCTTTCTTTTTTAGCAGGTTATTAATTACTTATTCAATGTTAGTTAATAGCTATAGGCCTGTTCAGATTATCTAGTTTTCCTTGTACGAGTTTTCTTAGATTGTGTCTTTCAAGGAATTGGCCCATCTCAGTTATTACATTTATAGGCAGAAATTAATGATATTCTTTTATTATCCTTTAAATGTCCACAGGATCAGCAGTAATGGTCCCTCTCTAATTTCTGATATTAATAATTTGTGTCTTCTCTCTTTTTTTCTTAGTCTGGCTAGAGGTTTATCGATTTCATTGCTCTCTTTAAAGAATCAGTTTTTGGTTTTGTTGATTTTCTCTATTGATTTCCTGTTTTCAATTCTGTTGATTTCTGTTCCAATTTTCATTATTTCTTTTCTTCTGCTTACTTGGAATTTTCTTTTCTTCTTCTAGCTTCCTAAGGTAGAAGCTTAGATAATTGATTTTAGCTCTTTCCTCCTTTCTTCTTAGCGCTTTTTCTTTTTAGCTCTTCCTTATATGCATTTGATGCTATACATTTCCCTCTAAACATTACTTGTTCTAATATCCCACGAATGTTAAGTCGTATTCACATTTTCATTTGGTTCAAAATATTTTTAAGTTTGTCTTGAGACTTCTTTGACTCATATGTTATTTAGATATTTGTTGTTTAATATTCAAGTATTTGGGGATTTTCCAGCTACTTTCTGGTACTGATTTCTAGTTTAATTCCATTGTAATCTATAAGTATGCTGCATATGGTTTCTATTCTTTTAAATTTGTAAAGGTGTGTTCTACGGCCCAGAATGTGATCTGTCTTAGTGAATGTTCCATGTGAGCTTGATAAAAATGTATATTCTGCTGTTACTGGATGAGGTATCCTACAAATGTCAATTAGATCAATTTGTTTGATGGTGCTGTTGAGTCAAACTATGTCTTTCCTGATTTTATGCTTGGCAGATCTGTTCATTCCTGATACAGGGCGTTGAAGTCTCTAACTATGATAGTGGATTCATCTGTTTCTCTTGGCAGTTCTACTAGTTTTCTCCTTGTGTATTCTGACACTCTGTTGTTAGGCACCTAGACATTAAGGATTGTTATGTATTCTTGGAGATCTGATCTTTTATCATGATGTAATGTCCCTCTTTACTGCTGAAAACTTTCCTAGCTCTGAAGTCTGCTCTGCCTATTCTGGTAATTTCTGATATTAATAATTTGTGTCTTTTTTTCTTAGTCTGGCTAGAGGTTTATCCATTTTATTGATTTTTTTCAAAGAACCAGCTTTCAGTTTAATTTACTTTTCTTCCTCTAGTTTCCTAAGGTACAAGTTTAGATAGTTGATTTTAGATCTTTCTGCTTTTCTAATATATGCATTTGATGCTATAAATTAATATGGCTCCTCCAGCTTTCTTTTGGCCCATCTAAGTTTTCCTTTGATTCATGTTAGAACAGTATACTTTCCTCCATCCCTTATCTATTAATCTTTAGGTGTTTATATAAATGGGTTTCTAGAAGACAACACATAGTTGGGTACATTTGTTTTAAATCCACTCTGACAGTCTCTGTCCTTTAATTGGTGTATTTAGACCGTTCATATTTAAAGGGGTCGTTGATATAGCTGGAGTAATATCTACCATATTTGTAAGTTTTCTACTTATTGCCTTTGTTCTTTGTATCTTTGGGGCGTCCCATTCTTCTTCTGCCTTCTCTGGCTTTTATTGGGCATTTTATACGATGCCATTATCTCTCCTAACACATCAGTTATACTTCTTTTAAAAAGTTTTTTAGTGGTTTCCAGTTCGCAATATACATGTATAACTAATCCAAGTCCACTTTTAAATAATACTATATTCCTTAAAACGATAGTACAGGTTTCTTGTAACAGAGTACCCCAAATTCCTCCCTCCTGTCCTTATAACATTTCTGTTATTCATTCCACTTATCCATAAGCTGCAGTTAATCAATACATGGTTGCTGTTATTACTTTGAACAAAAGTTATCTGCTAGATCAATTAAGGGTAAGAAAAACACATTTCATTTTACCTTCACTTATTCCCTCTCTCATGCTTTTTCTTTCTTTAGGTAAACCAGAGTTTCTGGGCTATATGATATTTCTTTCTGTTGAAGAACTTCTTTTAGCATTTCTTGCAAGGCAGGTCTACTGGCAACAAATTAGTTCACTTTTTTCTTATCTGACAAAGTCAATTTTCTTCACTTTTGAGAATAATTTTTTTTCTGAATATAGAATTCTAGGTTGATATTTTTCTTCTTATAATGCTGTAAATATTTCACACTACTCTCTTCCTTCTTGCATGGTTTCTGGGAAAAGGTCCAATGTAATTCTTATCCTTGCTCCTTTATAGGTAAGGAATCATCTCGCCTATAAGGAATCTCCTGGATTCTTTCAAGATTTTCTCTTTTTTCTTTGATTTTCTGCAGTTTCAACACAAGGTGGCCCGGGGTCGACTTTCTGGCATTTATCCTGCTTGGTGTTGGCATTCACTGAGCTTTCTGGATCTGTGGTTTCGTGTCAGTTACAAGTTTGGAAAGTTCTAAACCATCACTACATTAAATCCTCCTTCTGCTCCTTTCCTTCTACTCCTACTGGGGTTCCCTTTACAAGCTGCACCTGTTGTCGCTGTTCCACTGGTCTTGGCCATTTTCTTCTGTTTTCAAATTTATTCTCATTTCTCCTTGATTTTCAGTTTGTGAAGTTTCTAACACCGTCCAGCTCACTGATTCTTCCCTCAGCCCATGCGCAGATGAGCCACTGCTTCGTTTCTGGTGCTGTTCCTGATTTCTAGTTTTCTTTTTGAGTCCTTCTCAGAGCCTTGAGCCCCCAGCCTGACCCTCAAGCCCAACTGCCCAGCCCGGCGAGGCCCCAGCCCGACCCCTGGGCCTGACCCCCGAGCCCAACTCCCCAGCCCGACCCCCTAGTCCGAGGGCCCCGCACTGCTCTGAGCATCAGCAGCAACACCTGCCGTGCGGGCCCTGAGAACATCGTCAGCATCCACACGCCTCCGGTGACCGCACACCTCCCTCATTCACGTCTCCCGCGACCACACGTCTCCAGTGTCTGCACGCCTTCCTGACACGCCACACGCTCAGGACGCACTCGCTGCCCACTCCTCATGTTGTTCTTGTTAGTTTGGCCACATGGAGGGCCCTGGGGAAAGTTCTGCGAGAGTGAAGTGTGCATCTCATGTAGAGTTTTAAATACACTGTAGGGTCACCAGGCACTTCACGACTGATTTAACTTGGTAGTAAAACAGGTATTCAAATGGCGACTGAAAAACAGAAAAGTTCTGCAGATCTGGAGCACGGTGAAGCCTGACACACAAGCTCCTTGGTTGCAGCTTCCCGTGGCACACGCTGCGTCTGAGCGCCCTCTCTCCCCACTCTCGCCAGCCACTCCGTGCCTGTGCACACAGCACGCAGGTATCTGTCTCCTGAAACGCAGCGAAGAGCGCCACCGGCCGGCTCCTGCGATTCTGTGTGGCCGATCCTGCCACGGGCCTTGTAGGAGGGCTCGGATGCTAGAATGGGGAAGGATCTGAATGTGGAAGGATCTGAAGATCTTCAGGTAACAGGGCAGTGAGAAATCATTCTGCCGGCCAGAATCTTGCTCTCATCATCAATGAAATCGCCGCTCGAGCAACTGAGATGAGACTCTGCCGCGCAATTTCACGAGGCGCTCCGTCTCCCAGGGGAGCACAAACACGGAATCTGAGCGAAATGATATCGTTTGTGGCTCCAGTTACCATAGCGTGCAGGCACTTCACATGGGTGTGATCTGCTCTGGAGGCTGTGGGGGTTCTGAGCACTCACACACAGCAGGAAACGACAGCATCAGACGGGAAGTCATGGCACAAACACCCCCAGGCCGTGTGGAGCACGCAGGGAAGCCCCACACCCAGCCTAGGTCACACACCTGCCCCCAACAAAGAAATGAACAGGAGGGGACAGCACGTGTCAGTGGAGCGTCTCAGGGCAAGCCTTCTCCATGAAGACGCACAGCACATGACCATCAAACAGGGACACTGCTCACGGCACGGAGGACTGTCCCTGCCTGTTCTTATTTCTGAAACATGCAACCCTCTTATTCGCGTTTCATTTTCTCACACTGGAGGGGAACACAGAAACAAACTACTCCTTCCTCTTAACACTAGGAAAGCCAGGTCCCCACCAGAGCCTTGCCAGGAAGCCAGTGTGGGACGGCCACGGGGCCTCAAGACCAGGTCCAGGAGGCCCCTGGAGTGACCTCTGGCCAGTGGCTCAAGACACCCAGCCCACAGTGGCCATTCACGGAGACAGGGCAGGAGGGGCCTGGGGAAGCCAGACACCAAGAGGGGTGAGCGCCGAGACAAAATCCCGGAAGACGGCATGCAGTCTTACCTTTAAAGTCAAATTGGTAGATGTTTTTTAAGGATTCATGAAGAAAATAAAAGCTTCCTAGTGCCTGTAGAGCAAAAAGAGAAATCAAATGAGAGACTGGTGCTGGGAATATTTCTAAAGCATTGTTTTTAACAATAAATAAAAGCTCTTTTAAACTAGCTAGAGCAAGAGTTTAACCAGTTGTAATTTAATCACAGTTACTGAGGCACAAGACGTCAAGCAGAGGAAACCTGCGAACACCCAAACTCCACCAAGCTCCAAGCACGCGGTGAGCCGTGCAGCCAGTGCTGGCTCCAGCAGGGGTGCAGATCCCGCAGGCTGGGCATTGAGTGGACTAGACCCTTCCCAGCACTGATGCTCAGCCTCGTCCCGGGGCCCCCAACCATCAGCTCCACTGCGCCCGGCGCCACCCTGCCCCATCGCCCCAGGAGCCACCAGTGTCTCCCACTCACAAATTAGCCGGACAGGTGCAGAGCACAGGGGCCCCTGCTCTCCACACCAGAGAAGGCAAAAGCACGGGGCCGGGCACCACAAGGCTGGGTCGATGGACACTACACAGACAGTGACTTGTTGATCCGAACTTCAAGTTTCACGTTGTATTTTCTACAGGTGAACCTGTGTCTACGTGCAGCAGTGCGTTCATATTGACGTGTATATTATTTCTGTGTATTTTTTTCTTTTGCTAAATCTGGCAACCCCAACACGGGGCCTGGTGCAACTCTGGGGTGATCAGAATATTCTACACTGGGTTGCAGTGGTTGCCTTTGTCAAAACTCACTAAATTATACCCTAAACAGGGCGAATCTCACCGTCTATACATTAGACCTTTATAAACCTGACTTAACAAACAAGTCTATCTCATAGGAGATAGCTGTGTGCCCTGTGCGGGTGGCAGGTGCTGGGACAAAGCAGGGGAGGGTTTGGAGGGGCAGTGCCAGGTGGGCCAGAGAGGAGGGCACATGGGCACAGCTGCAGATGGAGGGCAGGGGCTGCCTGCAGGGAGCCCAACTGTGACCGTGTCACACAGGGCCTCCTGCAAGGAAGAGACTCTTAGCCACTGGGTGCTCGAACCCCAACTCTGCACTCCGAACAGGGCCTGTCCTCAGAGAGCTGAAAGCACAGGGTGCCGTGCATCCCTCACTGTCTCTGTGTGAGCCTGTGGGCAACACAAGGGCAACACCCGGGCATCACCTCATTCCAAGGCTTCACTTGTACACTCGTGCACAGTCATGTCCACACATGCACACCACACGCTTGCACACACACACTAATGCACTCATACACACTCGTGCACATACTTGTGTACACTCACACACTTGTGCACACGCACTCAGGCACTCGCTCACACATGCACACAGGCACTCGCACACACTCATGCACACACAGGCATTTGTTCACATGCACTAACATGCACACGCACTCATGCACTCACATGTGCTTGCTCACACCCTTGCACACGCACACGCACACACTCATGCACTCACATGTACACTCACATGCACTTACACTTGCACAGTCATGCACTCACACTTGTGCACATACGCACTCATGCACACACACACTTGGTCACACACACAAACTCATTTGTGCACATGCACTCACGTGTACTTGCTCACACGCACACACTTGCACACGCACACGCACACACTCATGCACTTACACTTGCACAGTCATGCACTCACACTTGTGCACATATGCACTCATGCACACACACACTTGGTCACACACACCAACTCATTTGTGCACATGCACTCACCTGTACTTGCTCACACGCACACACTTGCACACGCACGCACTCATGCACTCTTGCTTTGTTTTGGGCAGAACCATGACCCCACAACCCCGCAGTTCTGAGTGCCCCAGCATGGACCTCCTGCTAAGATGCTGGCCTATGGCGCTGCAGGGCTACTCTCTCTCTGAGAAAGACAAAGGCAATGCTTGAGCATCACCTAATTCCAAGGCCCAAGCTAAACGTCCCACACACTTCGGGCTCTGCAGTTCCCAGGGAACTGCTGCTCCCTCCCTGATGACTGGTCACTGGGGTGGCTGCCCTGGGGGCAGGGCTGTAGGAAGGTGCACCACACTGGGGCGTCAGGAGGTCGCTGCTCCCTCAGAGGCGCAGGGCGCCGGGCACAGTGCGTGGTGAGGGGACCTATGTTCTGGGCCTGCTGAGGGCCAAGCGTGCCAGTAACTCTGGCCAGGTCCCTGTCCGCGGCCCCTGGGCCCCTGGGTCAGCTCTCTGGGACCTGTTAGGCCGTCTCTGGTTTGATGCCGACCCCACAACATGGGAAGCTCCCTGGAGGCTGTGCAGCTCCTGCTCCTAGGGCGTGTGCAGCACACAGTGGGCCAGGGTGATGGTCCTGCTCCCCGGGAAGCTGACCACATGGACACCTCACCAGAAAACAGTGTTTCACCTTGAGGATGACACAGCTGTCCTCTGACAGAACACACTTCAAGGAGTGCATTTAAACTCCTAAAAAGAGAGGCCGGCTGGCAAGACTGAGCCCCGTGCACCGAAGCCATGGTGGCCTCTGCCTCCTGTCTCTGCTGTGTCTGACTGGGAAGGGGACATGCCCACAGGGAGGAGCAGGGACATGTGCTGCCTCCACCCGGCACAGGTGGCAGGTGCGAGTGCACACACACACGTGCACATTCCTGAGTGCCAGACCTCGGCGGGAGAATCCAAAGCTGTGGGGTAGCCATGGGCCTCCCAGCCCTGCATCCTGGCCACCACCCAGACGGGAGCCCCCAGGCTAGCCGACAGATGACAGGGACCTTCTGCCTGGGGGACAGGGATGAAGGACACCCGAGGGGGACGCAGTGCAGTTCCTCTCCTCTTGCAGGAGGGTCTAGGGCACAGCAGGCAGCGTCTCTGCCTCCACAGGGAAGCCAGGAGGTGGCAGAAACTGTGTGCCTGACATGGGGCTCTGTCCTCGGGCCCTCTCTGGTCCCTGGCCCCAGGCCACATGCCCTGGTGAGCTGCCGCTGGGTCCAGAAGGCTGCGCATGGCCATGATGCACTCGGCTGTGACATGGACACTGCTCGACTGACCTGCTATTTCATTAGGCATCTGCTGTGAACCTGTTCAGAACCCAGGGAACCGAGCCACCTTTACAGCAGGTCTTAAAAATAGCCAGTGTTGGCCGGGCTCAGTGGCTCATGCCTGTAATCCCAGCACTTTGTGGGGGCGAGGTGGGCAGATCACCTGAGGTCACCAGTTCAAGACCAGCCTGGCCAACATGGTGAAATCCCGTCTTTACTAAAAGTACAAAAATCAGCCAGGCATGGTGGCATGTGCCTGTAATCCCAGCTACTTGGGAGGCTGAGGCAGGAGAATTGCTTGAACCTGGGAGGCAGAGGTTGCAGTGAGCCGAGATCGTGCCACTGCACTCCAGCCTGGGTGACAAGGTGAGACTCTGTCTGAAAAAAATAGAAAATTAAAATTAAAAAGCCAGTGTTCATCATTTTCTTTGGCAAAACAGAGTTTCAGCACAGAGTTAAGACAGAAAACTGTAGGCCTGTGCCCCATGGATGAGACTTAACGTCTCCTCTGCCGACATCAGCCCTTCTTTATAGAAGATATCCCTTCATTTGTTTCAGATAAAGAAAGCACTCTGAAAAAACAAAATAAATGTCGCTGCAAACATTTAAACCATTACCTCATTGAATGTGATAAAGCTAACAGAATATTATAAAGTTTGCAACAAATAAGTGAAAAATAAATTGCCAATGCAGCAATAGAAACTGCAATTTATAGTCAGAAATCCATAATTAGCTCTAATAAACATTTAAAGTCAAAGTTCAACCCAACTTTTTCGGTGTTTACCCTGCCCCATCAAAACGGTTCAGGGCACCCATTTATCACAAACCCAGGACATCGGGCCAGGAGCGTGTCCGGGGCTTGCCAACAGGAAGTCCCCAGCTCGCCCAGGCCTCTGACCACAGTACTTGTCTACTTGTCAAGAATATGTCTGTCTCATCTGAGAATAATGACTCCTTGCCTCTTGCTAAAAACAATTAAAATACTTTTTACATATTTATAAACAAGACTGTCAAGAGTGCTCATTAATTCTGCATTAGTGAAATGCAGCCATTGGCTGTGAGGCTTCTGCCAGGACTGCAGACATGGGCAGGAGCCCTCCATCCCCCGGAGGCCACGGCACAGCCGGGAAGTGGCCTCCGTTGGACAAAGCCAAGCCCCTGGGGCACCGAAAAGTAGATCCGGTGCAGGCCACACAGGAGATCCAGACCCCGGCTAACCTGGGCCCTGGCTGGGGCTGCAATGGTGGGACCCGAGTCTCTGAAGGCAGCCTGGGAGCTAACGGGCAACGGAAGCTCCAGTCACCACCCATCAGGCTTCCACACCAACTGGTGACCAAGGCGCAACGAACCCCGCGTACCATAGAGGTTCAGTGCCTCTCACAGGGCGGCTAGTGAAGATGGAGTACTTGCAAATGCTAGTAAAACAAGCTCTCTACTTCAATTGGAGTCTGGTAATGTGACAAATGGCCACACCGTGTCACTTAGCTTGATTTCGGGAGCTGAGTTCTGATAGCAGGCCCACTTTGCAAACAGCCAGCTCAGGGCGGGAGCAGACCACTTCTCACACATTCGGAAAGAACAACGTGTCCCGGAGGCACTGTGCAATCACAAAGCCCGTGTTTGTTGAGCGGGGTCCCACCTCCTAGACGGAGCCGCCGGCTCGAAGGCTCGGGATGACTCAGGCCGGGGCAGAGGCTGACAAGGCAGCAACACAAAGCTGCCTTTGGAAATGCCTCTATCACTTTTTATTTGCAAACAAGTCAGATGGCCGGTAATTTATCATTTCTGTAATCAGGTGAACGACCAAAGCACACATCATTAACCTGGTCTTCTGCACCCAGCTCCCTCGTGCATGAAACAGAACACATTCCTAAAACGTCAGTCACACAGACCCTGCAGTAAGGGACACACAGGAGCACGCGCTCTGCTCAAGACAGAAGGGGGAAACGCACAAGCAGTGTCCACGTGAGGCCCCAGGTGGCAACAGGGCCCTTCTCTTGTGCTGGTTCCAACCGTGTCACG